CACTTCAAAAAGGTTGTGGACAGAATGGAGCAGGTGCAGAGGAGAGGGACAAGGATGATCAGGGGGCTGGAGACCAAGCTCTATGAGGAAAGGCTGAGGGATGTGGGAATGTTCGGTCTGGAGAAGAGGAGGTTGAGGGGGGACATGATTGCTATCTTTAAGTATTTGAAGGGCTGTCACTTAGAGGAGGGCAGGGAGCTGTTCGTGTTGGCAGCAGAGCATAGGACTCACAATAATGGGTTTTAATGAAGGGCGGGAAGGTACCAGCTGGATATTAGGAAAAACCTATTTACCATAAGAGTTGTTCAGCAGTAGAATCAGCTGCCTGGGGAGGTGGTGAGCTCCCCCTCAGTTGCAGTCTTTAAGCAGCCACTGGACAAACACTTGTCAGGGATGCTCCTGCATTGCTGATCCTGCATTGAGCAGGGGTTAGACTAGATAGCCTGTATGCTCCCTTCCAACTCTGTGATTGGATGGTTCACTAGCCAAAGCTGGTGAAAGGTACCCTAATTACCACTGCTACCTGTTTATCTACCAGGAGACCTGGGTCCAGGTGCAGGTAGAAATCACTGTGCAGTTAGTACTATACTATTGCTGGAATCTAGAGGCCACACAGATGAAGCCTTGAATAAGTGGCAGCCAGTGTTCCCTCTAAGCTGTTAGTGTGAGCTAGCTCACAGTTTTTTAGCCTCCAGCTCACACATTTTTGTCTGAGCTCAGGAAGGGTGGTTCCAGAGCAAACTAATTTATGCAGCCGCCAAATCGCTCACTCACAACTTTAATGCCAGTAGCTCACCAAGTAGAGTTTTTGCTCACAAGACTCCACGACTTAGAGGGAGCATTGGTAGCAGCCTCTCTCCCCTTCTGATGGTCTTCCCTCAAGGCTGAAGGGGGGAAACCATCTGATGTTATATTCCATGAGGCACCGGAGGCGGGGGGATACTGCCAGCAGTGAAAATGTTTGTGCATATACCATCCTTTCTGGATCCTGTGAGTTTATTAACTGCTAAGACAGGAATTCCTGACTAAAGAAGTACTTTCTTTTGTCTTTCCTGAATCTAATGCCCATAATCTTCATTGTGTATATGAGTTCTGTTGTTATGGGCCAATGAGAAAAAGTTATCTCCACTCTAAAAAGTAACATATGCTGTATAATTGGAAGATTCGATTCTGGAAAGCTACAGAATATAGCATTTTTTCATGTATAGCACAGCAATGTGATAATTCCTTTCCCTTTCAGTCCCTGCTTTATGGTGTGGATGAAAAGGTCCCTCTGTCAATGGCATATTTCCATAATTGTGTCAGTGTGGGTCAATTCAGTAAGATTAATTTTTACAACTATTGAATATTTTATATTAAACGTAACACAACCAGTTAAGGCAGAGCAGTTTTTGTTCTATGTGTCAGGCTGCTTCACCGTCCAAATCTCCCTTCAGAAGCCATTCTTCTTAGAAAGCCTTTTGTGAGCTCTAGTTTCCCCCGCATCCACATCTACTGCTTTCCAACTTCTCAACTCAATAACTGCTAGGGATGGGCACACACCGGGAAAATGGAGGTTCATGGTTTGTGAGGTTCCATGAACCTCCACAAAGCTTCCTGTTTAACAAACTGGTTCATGGTTTGTGAGGTTTCGTAGCTAGAATGCCCCCCTGTGGGCTAGAGACACCAAACTCTCAGCAAGTCTCCAGCTGACGCTCCTCTACCTGCCCTCCAGCCTTGGAGCACGAGCCAGAAAATGCAGTATTTGATTCTCAGGATCTGATAGCTCAGAACTAAAACCTCTGATTGAATGGCCTTAATAAAGTCATCCTAGTTATAAGTCATCAGGTATAAAAAGGAACTCATTTTCACTTTTTTCCAATGCAAAGAAATTCACCATAGACATGTTACTTTGCATCCATTGGCAGTAATAACCAATGGCAATTTTCATTTGAATACTGAAGTTCAGGTTTTGTGTGGCTCAGGTTTTTTTCCATGAGGAGCTCTGAATGTTTTTCTAGACTCCTTCCCGTACCTGATTACCCTGGCTTTGGCTAAAAGTTGTACTAATAAGCAAGTTCTTTGTGTTATAGTCCAATCAAAGTGAGACTGATTAGAACTTGGGTCAGGGCTTTTTAGAGTTGCCAAATAGGATGAAGGGCACTCTGACCTTGTAAACTGTATACTGACCATAAAAACATTTTTTTCTTAAACTTGCTTTTAGAGTATAGGTGGTATATTTCTCATTGTATTGTTTTGAGGACCCTAGGGGATGAAGGCCTCCATGGGATGTGCATGGCTTGCCATGTATTTTGAAAGGGGGCTATCTGGCACCAGTGAGGGAGGAGGGAAGGACTTGGGTGTCCATGAAAATGCTTAAGTCATAATTGAGGTCACAGTATAGTAAATGTATAACTTGGATCCTCAGAACAAATGTAGAGTCCAGTGGCATCTTGGTTTATTCAACAGATGAGCTAGAAGTGCATGCACACGTTTTCAAACATTGAAGTATTTGAGGTATTTGAAAAAGTGTACATGCACACAAAAGCTCATACCTTGAATAAACCTTTGTTGGTCTTAAAGGTGCCACTGGAGTCTAAATTTGCTCTACTGCTTCAGACCAACACGGCTGACCACCTGGAACTATCTTGGATCCTCAAAGTTCCCTCTGGACACTCTGCATAAAAAAGTGCTACATCAAAGCAGGAGCGAACTGCCATAACCCCTTCTGACCTATTACAGTAGGAAAGTATAGCAAAAGTTAAAATTTTAACCAGCATTAAACTTCCTGACAGTAGTGATAACACTTTAGTTTGGGAGTATGCAAATAGTGTATTAAGGACTACAAACTGAATTGGACGAGTACATTAAAATATACTTGATGGTTAAGACAGAAATATTGTCTTCTTTCATTTGCTTATACATTCCAGTTCATGGAAGATGGAGTAATAGACTAATTTGCTTATTTTTAGAACTTTCCTAAGTGCTGAAAACGACTCAAGACTTTCCCTCTTGGAAAGCAAACGAAATAAGGTGGTCCAGGGCTGGAGTGTGGTATGAGGCTACTGAGGGGAAATTGTCTTGAAGGTCCTGGCAAAGCCAGAATGCCATTGGGGTTAGTCTTGGACTAGGAGCTGTGAGACCCAGGTTGGGAATCCCCACTCTGTCAGGGAAGCTCACAGTGTGGCCTCGGGGCAGTCACTCTCTTCAGGCCTAACCTACCATAGAGGATGGTGATTGTGATAATAAAACTGAGGAGGGGAGAATGTTTTAAGTTGTTTTGGGTCTCCAATAGGGAGAAAAGTGGGGTGTAACTATCTAAATAAAAATAAAATGATGCTCCCACTTTTAGAACCATTATAGAACATGTTCTTTCTGCTAAGAGCATAGTAAAAATTTGTGAAGACAAAGTAACACTTGGAAGGTAGACTTCAGAATGTTCACAATAATTTATTAAAGTAAACTCTTGGTAGCCTCTAGCACTACATGATGCTGACTGTATGTACTGTTTTTACTTGTTGGCATATGTTTGGTTCCCAGTCTCCTGGAATCCAGGTTGCCTGAAATGCATCAACTTTTTAATTATTGTATTTTAGTTGAAACATTTATGAGAAGTAGAGCTGGGTTTTGCCAGGGAACAGATAACAGTCCCTCACTGTACTGATTTAACTTATGCCTCCAATGCCTTTGATCCTAAATTATCTTGCATTATGCCAAGCTGTTGAGCCTTTGCTTTCCATTTCTGAATGTCATCTTGTGCTCCTTCTTTATAAGCTGCTTTTTGCGGTCAAAGTATTCACCTCTCTCTACAACTCAAACTTTTTCAATCAGTACTCACCCCTTACATTTTGAGATGTAGCTGTGTAACTGCCCCATCCTCTCCATAATACATGGCTAAGGAAGAAGATTCATATAAAACTACAGGATATGTTGACCATTGGCTAATTGTAGCCTGTATTTTCTTATGCTTATGAGAACAGGCTATTCAAATACTGTCTTTAAGCAAGTGGAAAATAGTATCAAGACAATCAGCGTTTCCCGACACCCATGCAGTTGCAAAGCAGGTTGAGCAGTTTGCTCTCATTTTCATACTAGATCAAATTATGTGAATGTAGATCATGTATCACCCATAAAATGAACAAACTACTTCAAGCAGCAAAGCACATTGTGACCTTTCAGTTTCTTGGGAAAATATTTCTGTTCTTCATTTGTTGTCAATTGCATAAATATTCCCCTGCTTGATTGGAATGACACTGTAGCAGTATATCACTATCTTTAATTAGCCATGCTGTTACTTGAGGGTTGGTTCTGACATAAAGTCAAAGCAATTCTTTGAACTTGCATTCTTCAGATCACTTACTGCTTTAGTGGAAGACATAGTTTGCCTTTTTATCCAAAGCAGCTCTGATGGCAGAAGAGAATGGAGGATGTGGCCCTTCTAACAGTACAGCGCCCTCCCCCCAACCAGTGTTCCCTCTAAGCTGAGTTAGTGTGAGCTAGCTCACTATTTTTTAGCCTCCGGCTCACAGATTTTTGACTCAGCTCAGGAAAGATGGCTCCAGAGCAAACTAATGTAGGCAGTAGCCAAATTGACCACTCACAACTTTAATGCCAGGAGCTCGCAAGGTAGAATTTTTGCTCACAGGACTCCACAGCTTAGAGGGAACATTGCCCCCAACTCATGTAACTGCTCATTTATGCAGGTCCAACAACAACCCCAGGACTAACCTTTCTGGAGACCTAAAGGGATTGCTATGTGGAAGAGAATGTTGGATCCATTCACTTTCAGCCAGTGGCTGGTGGGATAGAAGCAATTGTGTTTGAACATTAATAGAGAACATTGGGAAAAATACAAATGGTTCATCTCATTTAGCTGTCATTGGGAGAGTCTGGTTGCAATATGTTCTTGAACACTGAATTAAATTTAACTGACTATTTGAAAATTACATAAAGGTTCAGCTGATGGGAGGTTGGTTACTTTAAATGTAGTCATCCACTGATTATCCTTAATTTTCTTTTAGTGAAACGCTTCAGAGAACCAAAGCATGAAAGACGGCCTTGGAGGATATGGTGAGTGTTTAAGTATTAATGATTCTTGAACTGCCTTAAATTTATTAGATGTTCATCTTATGGATTTGGGGAATGAATTACAAGAGACAGGCAGTTGTAGTACTGCCTGATGTGTGTAAAGTGGGTCAACTGTTGTTGATTACTTGTGTTGGATTTCTATGCCTGGCAGACTTCTGAGTGAAACCATGGTCTGTCAAAGTCAGTGTTGTCCATTCTGCATAGCAGAAACAGCTATGTAAACTCTTTTCACAACTGCTACTACCAGGTCTTTTTAACTGGAGATACTGAGGATTGAACTTGGGATCTTTTGAATGCAAAGAGGATGTTCTACCACTGAACCGTGGCCAATCACCTTAGAGCTAATAAAGCCAAGATGCAGAAACGGTTGGTTATTTAGATTTAAATTACAGAGACTTTGAATAAGAGAAATATTACCCATCAGGACAAAGAACACGATGTGAATTGTTTTCCTTGCCTGGTGATCAGTTTGCTAGAAGTTCCGAAATAAAATCCTTTTTGCTTTCTTGAAGGAATTGTCTGGTTTCCAGGAGTCCATTAAAAGCTTTGCCAGCTTTAGTGTCACTGAAATGCACTCTCACTAACCAGCAGTGCCTACTCCTGCTTGTTCAGGTTCTGTAGAGACATGGCTGTAAAGAGTCAGTTATTCTAGAACAGGGCTGGCAAACAGAGGCCCTTGGGACTCAGTGTAGCCCATGTTATTGCTTTCTCATGCTCTACATAAGCTATTTGAACCATCTTCCGGGTTAAGAAGTGGATGCCCTTGGTGGTTGATTACTGCTTCAGCATCACTTTCTCACTGTTCCCTTTAAGTTATCAATATTGTGTCAAGGAGTTGGATTGACTTGGATCAAGCTAATTAAGCCTGAAGTTTAAATAACCCAGAGAAGTGAGTCATGAATATGTCTCTTGTTTATGAAGACTCTCATTTTGAAATGCATGTTTCTCAACAAGCCCACATTTATACGGGCTGTTGTACCAATAAAAACATATTGGTTTATAGCTTCTAGGAGCATAATCCAGATTCCTTAGCTGGGCCTTTTGCACTGTAGATTTAGCTCTGCTTAGATATGAAATACAGATTTCTGTACATATAAAAGGATACTACACAGTCCCAGTGAATAAAGTGGAATTCCTGTCCCAATTTATAAATTTGCTTCTGAGTAAAAATAGTTGTTGTAAGCATCTAGTATTTTCCAGAAGCAAGGGATGGCAGTTACTAGGCAAAATAGTTTTCCATGAGGTGAAATACTTCTTAGTTAAATCATAAATGTGAATACATTGAGAACTGAGAGTACCTAGAACAGGGGTGGCCAAACTTTCTCAACGTAAGAGCTACATAGAATAAATGTCAGATGTCTGAGAGCCGCAAGACATGAACAGATATTACAAACACATTTTTATTTTAAAATATGGAAGTTTGCTTTTTATTAACATTAAATGAGGCTGACAAAAACAAAAGCAAAAGGGGTAAAAACAGATGTTAGTAATGATATTTATTTGTCTAATGATATTTATTTGTTTGCTAATGATATTTATTTGTCTGAGAGAGAGAGAGAGGTGGGAAGAGAGAAACAGAAAGAGACAGAGAAACAAAGAAAGCAAATAGAAAGGAGGAGGGAAGGAAAAGCATGACTCCCCTTTGCTTCCCCAGCCGCCCTGCCGGGAGCCACGCAATATGTGTCAAAGAGCTGCATGCGGCTCCCAAGCCACAGTTTGGCCACCCCTGACCTAGAATATAAGGGTGGGATAATCCATACCATTCGGGTATAGTGGATGCTCCTGGTGAAAAACAAAATGGCATCTCTCAATTCAAGTACCACAATAATTAAGACAAAACTCACTGTGTCCGTTTTAATGCTTTAATCTCCAAGCCACGTATTTTAGTTGCACTTGATTCCCATCTTTCCAATCAAACAAGTAAATGTCATCATCCTCTGCTAGAACAGATAATGAGCATTCTGGTCACCAAGTGTAAGGCAAGTCCCAGTAACCACAGGGTCTGACAGCAGGTGTTCTCAGGTCACAGTCCAAAAGTCACAGTCCAGGGTCCAATAATACAATCAGAGGTTAAGTCAGAAGACAATCCAAGGTTTTAGTACAGGGTTAGGTTATGTATTCCAAAAAGCAGAGTCAAAAGAACTCTCAGGGTCAGGTAACAAAAATGGCTACAAAACAGGTCCCTCAACTGGTGGAATAATCAGCAAGGCTGCAGGTAAGTTGTTCCCACAGGGACTGCAGGCTTATGTGGGAAATTTCCCTTCAGGTGCTGTTGGGTCCCACATTAGGCTCTTCTCCACAAGCTGAGTCAGCTCCTTTACGCATGAGGAGTACTGGGAACTAGATCCTGTGGGAACTTATCAATCTCTTCTAGCATTTCCTTAGTAGAGGGGAGGCTGCGGGCTGCCAGGTGCACACTCCTGCGCCTGGTCCACACCTCAGCCCTTGCCCACTCTGTTCTTGGGGTGCTTCAGGAGACTGCAGCCAGTCTGATTACAAGTGGGTCCATGCTGGCGCCTCCAGGCCTGAGGACACTGCTGGCTCAGGGGGCAGTATTTGTGTTGGCTCACGGTCCCCTCAGGAAGGCCCTGAGACCCTGGCTTCACAGGAAGGGTCTGCCAAGGAGGAGCTTGGGGACAGGCTGTTCTACTCTTCCTTCAAGGATGGCTTGTCCTTCCATGCTGCACCAGGGCAGTCCATGAGAACAAGTCATGCAGAAGTAACCTGCAAAGCCATTTTGATATTTTTCATTATCAAGTTTTGTCTTTCTAATTTCACAATGTTCTAGTAAGAATTTCTATGTGGTCAATGTTTAATGTCTACTTTCAAAGTTTTGATCAGTTTTTTATATTTCTCTAGGTTTTTGGATACTTCAAAACAAGCCATAGGGATGTTGTTCATCCACTTTGCCAATGTGTATTTATCAGATCTTACTGGAGAGGACCCTTGTTCACTGTAAGTGTGTATATATTAATGCTTTGTGGAATGATCTTGTTGAAGTTCAGTTGACATTGTGAGTTCATACCAAGTTCAGTTGATATTGTGAATTTGCAGATGTGCATCCAAACAAAAGAGGAATTCCCATGGCTTTGATTTTCTTGTTTCCATGGTAAGAGGTAGCTACATTTGCTTTAAGAATGAAGCTGAGTATGCATCTTGTATCACAGATCCTCTTTTTCACTTGATTTGGTTAATAGAATGGATGTTTAACTTGGAAGTATATGAAATACTTCACGTATCAGTTCAGAACAACATATGGTGAAGGTTTTTGTAGTACAGAATGGTATTCGAACATTGCTTTCCTAAATGTAACAGTACTCTTACAAATTAAGAATCCTGAGTTAAATTTTAATTGGTGAACTGCTTAGTCCTCAAGGTGGCGTAATTGTTCCATAGAAATTGAGAAATAGAGGAACTGTCAGTGGTACAGCACTGCTTAATATTTTCTGGGACTACAGTGACCTCTGGTGGCCTTATAAGCCTGAGCCAAGCCTATATATTTTCACCAAACAGAGCATTCCAATAAAAATGTCTGAACTCATTTCACTCCTTTATTCTCTAGGCATACTGAACCACTCTGTGATATTTTTAAAAATGCTCACAGCTTCTTTTGACTTCCACTGTAGTGTTTTTCTAAGCCTCTAAAAGCAACTTTAGAAATAGAAATTCTTTGTATAATTGGGAAAAAACCTTTAGACTTGTATACTAATTCTCATTAGAATATGCAATAGAAGCCAAGCATGTTCTCACAAAAACATTAGAGACGATTCCCATATAGATATTTGTCTTTTTGCAGGGCTTATACAGAATAAGCAATTTGATTTCAAAATCATAATTTAAGGGATCTTATGTTGCTCCAAAGGTATCTTAAATTACACAAACTCTAGAGCTATCTCTCAGTTTAACAAATCTTAATTAATAGTGCTATGCTAAGGAAAGTTGGCCATTCATTTCAGTTGGCTTAAAGTGGAGTAACTCTTTAAGATTGCACTGCAAGTATGTAAGGTTTGCTTGATTAAATCGGCTCATACACAAATTCATCCAGTTTTGAAGATAACATGGCTCCTTTCATTAGATGATGTATATGTGTCACAGACATTGTCTTAGAAGAGGCATTCACTCCAATCTGTTCTTTCTAAGATGGCACCTGCCACTCACATTTGTCTGGGGCATCTTTTAAAAGACGTACAACAGAATAACACTCATCTGTTATTTGTGGATGTCTCGGTTCTATCAAAGAACAAAAGAAGGGTTCATGAATCATGAGGCCTATTTTCTTTTGCAGTTTAATGCCATCGACCTTGCTTTTGCGTGTGGTTTCTATCCTATTCTTGTAGACTTAAACAGCAAGTTTTCCATTTCCAAGCAGCACAGAGCTCCTTGCTCAAAGGAACACACTAGATGGATGGCATGAAAGAGACCTAGACAGTGCTCTTAAATTGCACGTTAAAATGAAGAGCAGTGTAGAAAATTGATTGACTATGTGGATAATAGGTGGCTTCTTATGAAAAATGGCAATTTAAGCACTAAAGCATGTGCTTAGGGAGTAGTGCTAAAGCTTTTGCAAAGAATAAGGAAAGTATGAAATCCTCTAGCCTAGGAGCATAGTTGTACATATGCTAGGTTTCTGGGTTTGCTCTGCAAAAAGAAAAATTAGCCTGCAAGGCAGCAGATAGAGACATTGCCTAGGCTAGCTAAAAGCCACAGGAGGTGGTGGGGAAATTTTCTATAGTTTTGGGGGGGCAATAATATATTTTCATGCCCACAGTTAGGTTTCTCATGTGTGTTTTTCACCATTGTAGGTACCTCATCAACTTTCTGTTAGATGCCACTTTAGGAATGCTGCTAATTTATGCTGGTGTGCGGGCAGTAAGTAGCATTGTTGAATGGCGGCAATGGGAGTCTCTTCGCTTTGGTGAATATGGTAAAGATTTTCATCCTTAAAATGCTTTTTGAGACAGATTAATTCAAATACTTTTTGAACAGGGTTGGGTTTTCTTGGTGATTTACTTGTCAATGATGAACTCCACAGCATGTTTTTTTTTCTAGAGCAGATCCTTGATCACTACAAATTACCAGTGCTTGATTTTGTGAGGTAGAATGAAGTTCCCAAAAATCTATACTGCAGTCTTTCCCAATTAAAATCAGTGCTTCAGTTGGGCAGGGATAGGGGACACGTTCTACAACTGCATCTATACAACTGGCTGGTTTGGGTGAATGTCCAGCCTTACACAGGCACTTTCAACCCATCTGGTGATCAAAGGTCTTTAAGAGTTGATATTTATTTCTGAATCAGGCTTGAGAGGAGCAAGGCTCACAGGCACCCTCTGTCTTCACTGCTTTTCTTGAGAAGAAATATCTCAGTGCTGTATAAGTCGAGTTCCTAACTGATCATCTCCAAAACATCCTGATACTGCCATAGCCAGGTCAGAGCCAAGATCTTCGTTCTCAACCCAGAAGAAAAGGGAAACGCATCCTAAGCTTGCGGTCTTTCTTTCCAGAGTGGAAACAAGCATCTGATCCAGTCCCTCCCTTCTTTTCAATCTGGGAACAGATAATGGATTCAGAGAACCTAGGTATCAGGCAAGCCAGGCACAAAGGATTTTCCCCTTCTTCTGTTGGGCTGCTATGTGAATATCTTGCCAGTGTCTAGAAATGGCAGTAGCCACAATGTTTTTGGAGATAATCAGTGAAGAATTCAATTTAGATTTTGTGAAATTTAGCTTTTTCCAGCAAAATGTCATATTTTTCAGAAGCCACATACAATGTGGCATGGCTGTTCAAGAAACACCAGCCCAAAGCCACCTTGCTATGGTAAGCTGGCTGTGAGATTCTCTGGAACTCACACATTGTATAATTAAGGGAAATGTTTGTTGATTCTCTCCCTCCATGCTGTTCCTGGGAGTCCTTCTACCCCCAGAAGCATTGTTTTGGAATGAGCAGGGGAAGGAGGCAAAAAAATCCCATTATACTGACAAAAATCTTTCTATCAATGGAGATCTAACACTGGACCCAAGCCAGTGTGTATAATGTTGGAGAGAAAAACTGGTTTATGTTGCAGCACATTTGCTTTCCCTATGTTATGAAAGGCTGATTCTTCTCAAAAGATTTCTGAACAAGGCCCTGACCTGGATAGCCCAGGCAAGCCTGGTCTCATCAGATCTCGAAAGCTAAGCAGGGCTGACCCCGGCAAGTACTTGGAAGGGCGACCTCCAAGGAATACCAGGGCTGGAACGCAGAGGCAGGTAACATCAAAGCCTCCTCTCTGAAATGTCCTAGCCCCACTAGGGGTCACCAGAAGTCACCATGACTTCCAGGCTCACAAGCACACACACACACAAAATACCAAAAAAAAAAAAAAAAGATTTCTAAACAACACAGGCAAATTGATTGTAGCTTTAGCTACCTGTGCTCTGGCATAAATCCAGTAAATACCAGATGACATCTTTGATCTAAATTTTTTGCCTCAAATACTAATTGACGATTCAGCATAAAAAGATCTTTTGAACTATGTGTTTAGTGAAGTATTTCATTTTGAGGAATTACTCCTGGCATGTTAGTGTGGAGATTCCATCTCAGCAGTTGAGTATTCCAGCCAGAGGGAGGAAGGTCAATCATCAGTCATCACATTCTTCTTCCTGAACATTCATGCCTTGCTGTACAATAGTAAGAGGAAGAAACAGGGAGGGAAAACTAGAGCAAACAAACCTTTAGGCAGTCCTAATTATTCAAAGAATTTTGTCCTGCTTACACTGGTCCCAAATGCTGCTATTTTAACAATGTGAGGAAATAGGGTTAAAATTTTTTTTTTGCTGAAGTAGAGTACCACTCTGTACCCAGAATATGGGTTACCTGCAGCAGGTGAAGCCAGAAAGCATGGCAGTGGAAGAACAAAATTTGAGTCCAGAAGCAATTTAAAAGACCAACAAAACTTCCAGGTTATCTGCTGTGGTGAGCTTTGACTCACAAAAGCTTATCCCTGAGAAAATGTTGTTGATGTTTGCCACTGGATTCAAATTTTGTTCTACTACTACAGACTAACGTAGCTATCCACCTGATACTATCAGCATGAAACTGGAAGAGAATCTCAACACCATAAGAGCAGTTATGCTGTATCCAGCATCCTGCATTACTCAGTGGCCAACCATTTAAGGACTGCCTATGAACTTAACTACTGACCACTGCGGTCATCTTTGGGAGCCCTCTCCATCTGAAGCTAGATGGGTCGCAATCAAAGAAAGGGCCTTCTCAGTCCTGGCACTAAAATTATGGAATTCCCTCCCCATGAAATGTGTACCTTCTCCCTCTTTCATTGTCCTCCACCAGCAGGTGAAGAATTTATTGGTGTGACCCTTCTTCCTGACCCTTCTTCCTGTGATTCCCCCCTTTATTTATTTATTTATTTATTTATTTATCTTAACCGCCCTTCCCTGTTTATGTGGGGCTCAGGGTGGTTTACAACAACATAAATTCCAATACAAATTTTAAAACCTCAATAATTGTTCAATAAATAGTCAATTTAAAACCCAACATTAAAATATCTAAAACAATACACATTCCAAGTTGGTGGAAAAAAATTCAGCTTCCACAGGCCTTCTAGGGGGGAGGGGTTATGGATGGTGGAGGGTGTGTGTAAGAGTAGTGTAGTGTTCTTTTTTCTCCTGTTTTTTCTGCCGTTAAGTAATTTGTATGATTTTAAATTAAAAAATCTAAAGTAATAATAATAGTTACAAGTTGCTGACAAACAGGACATAGAAGCCACGGTTGCCTTCTGATGTTGCCTCTTAGAATCATGGAATCATAAAGCTGGAAGCATCTAATCCAACCCACTGCACAAGGCAGGAGATTCACAAATACCTTCCCCCCACATCACAGTGACCCCTGCTCTATGCCCAGAAGATGACAAAAAAACCTCCAGGGTCCCTGGCCAAACTGTCCTGGAGAAAAATTGCTTCCTGACCCCAAAGTGGCGATCAGCATTTCCCTGGGCGTGTAAGAAAGGGCCACAAGAACCAAGCACTGATGCAACCCTTCCTGCCCTCCCTCTCATGATCTGCCTAAGTTCACAGAATCTGCATTGCTGTCAGATGGCCATCTAGCCTGTGCTTGAAATCCTCCAAAGAAGGAGAGCCCACCACCTCTTGAGGAAACCTGTTCCACTGTGGAACTGCTCTGGCAGTTCTTTCTACTGTTTAGCTGAAAACTCTTTCGATGTAATTTCAACCCATTGGTTCTGGTCCAACATTCTGGGGCAGTAAGACACAGGGAGGAAAACAAACTTGACCCAAAAACTGGAATCAAGAACCACAAGGGTAAGAAAGAATTTATCTGTATTGGCCCTTGTGTTCAGGCCACTTGAACTTTTCAACAAGGCTTTTATTGGGCCCTTATTTGTTTTTAACTGCTTTTCTAATAAATACTGTATTTTTTATATTATAAGTTTAAACTAGGTTTTTAACATTGGCCCTTTATTAGACTTCTTTCTTACCCTTGTGGTTCTTCGTTTCAGTTTTTGGGTCAAGTTTGTTTTCCCCTCCCTGTGCCTTACTGCCATTGTTTGGGGACAGTAGCTGACATGGCACAGAAGGACTTTGGGTTTTTCAGCTATACAGATGAACAAATACCAACATTCTGGGGCAACAAAAAACAACTCCACACCATTCTCTATATAACAGCCCTTCAAGTACTCAGATGCTTACTAAAGAGAGTTACTCCAGTCTAAGCCCATTCATTTCAGTGGGCTTACATGGGAGTAACTCTGCATAGGATTGTACTGTGAGGCATCTAAGCATTTAGTGGTCAACCCAGGGCTCTGCCACCACTCTCTCAAGTCTGCCGGACTCGGAGGGGTTTTCTTGTGCTTCTGCTTAGGTACACAGCCACCAATAGAAACCTAATAACCTTGTTTCATTGTTTGTGCATACCCCAGAGACCACAATATATACAGTTGTATCTGCATGAATGTCACCCTGCCCTTCCATTTTAGGGCTTGATGGCAGGCCAGATGAGAGTAAGCCACAACAGCACAAATGGTTGTGGGCCCGTTTCCTCTCTTTCCATGTGACTAGTGGGTGTGGTAGTGAGAAGGAATAACGATTAGAAAAGAAATATCCAGGTAAGGGGGTGAGGGTTAAAACAGAAACAGTCGTAACTTCTGTCATATAATTATTGGTGGATTTGAAAGGCTTATGAACCCATTAGGTGGGTTGGTGTCTTATCAGGAGAACATTTTCCTCCATACTTATGTGTAGAAAAGTGAGACAGTTTTCATTTCTCTGTGAAATACATGCTAACCTTTTTTGTATTTTTAGAGAGCATATAATTGTTCGTCTCTTTGAGTCCGTCTACTTTTCCAGATACATTATTTGATACTTACCAATTCATTGTTTGATGCCCTACGGAAATAAATTTTGTATTAGAAGCCTGTCTTTTTATATGAATTTAATCTGGTAGTGTCTCAAGGAGTGAGATGGTATTGTAACATGCATAGGTGGAACTCCTGGACAAATAGCTGATGGGATAGTGGTAGAGGTCTGTATACAGCATACTTTGATCTTAAATATGATGGGAATGCTATAAAGAACAAAATAACACAATAAAATAACATAAAGAGATGAAGACTAAGAAACTTCTAACCTGATAATTGTAACGCTACTGATCTCTTAGCTAAGCTGCAGGCCCTCATGCTTCTTCCTCCTCTCTTTCCTTAGTGTAGCATCTGTACTGATGTTAACCAGTGAGCTTTTAACCAGCGTTAAATCCATTCAATTAGGGATTGAAGCTCATTTGCTTGCCAATGAAAGCTAATACCAGTAAGTTTGATGCAAAACGTGGAATGCTACACTATGTTGGCAAGGAAAGCAACAGGGCCATAGCCAGTGGTGGGACGTTGGAGGCAGTGCCCCCTATCTTATTTGCAATGCCCCCCATCCCAGTCTCCATCCCTTTCCACCTGGCCGGCCTCTCTCCCCAGTGGGCCACCCAGGGCCCGGCTGAGCATACAGGTCGAGAAAGCAGTGGCATCTGTCACCCCAGGGCACTGCCAGCAGCCTGGCCTCGCCCACACCAGCCGAGTGCAGGGTGGAGCGTAACCCAGGATCCCGGAGTAGGGTGGCTGCATTGCAAGACAAGCGAGCTGGCTGGCAAGGAACGCAAGCAGTCATACCCGGTGAAGGTGCCTCCAGGGGCTGCAAACCGCAAAGAGGTCAGTCTGGGGCAGGATGAGGCCACGGATGTTCAGACAAGGAGGGACGAGGGGGGCTTCCAGGGCTAAGAAGGACAAAGCTGGGGCAGGCAAGGCGACCCCCTCGCCGCTTTCTGTTGCATGTGTGTGAATGGGGAGGGGGCTTCTGAGCACACACAGACCCCCCTCCTCACACATGCAATGGCCATCTGGAGTGGCAGAAAAGAGCCAGAGTCCAGCAGCTGCTGTGCTACCTTCCTCCCCCCTCCCCGCCAAGAAGTACCTGGCCTTGTTTAACTTTAAAATTTATTTTAATTTAATTAGTGTAACCTGGCCTCCCCCCCCCCCAAAAAAAATCCTGGCTACAGGCCTGGAAAGGAAGGAGGAAAGGGAGAATTTACACCCATCTAGGGAAGCAACCTGAAAACCTAACTACAGTCTCTGTAGTGTTTGGTCGTTTTCAGGCTCCCTGTGACAACTGCTTTGAATTCTATTATTTATACCCCACTTTCCCTTAATGTTTGAAATAGACTTGTCAACGTATTTGAAAGTCCGCATACTACTGTTGTAACCTATGAGTAAGCAGTAGAGTAGTTGCTTCTTTTTACTTAATTCTATACATGCATGTATTTGTAATTAAGGAAAGGAGCATTCTTATGCAAATATTCATGTTAGGAAGCAAATCACCAAACAGTTTGCCTTCCCACAAATTACATTCATGGGGAATTCCCATATTGAGGGTCAGATGGGTATGGAAGTGGGACATGTACTTGAACAGTAGAAACAGGAGTTTGGTTCAAGTGTTGGTCAGTGTCTTGTTACTTAGGGTTTAAAAAATAATGGAATATGTTTATAAATCAATATGTAAAAGACATACTGACTTTGAGATACTCAGTAATACATACTTCTATGGTTAAGTTGTTAAAATTTCCAGACTTTGTGATATTTTACATGTCTTAAGTCTTCTGCTTTTTGTTTAATTTTGCGAACTTGTTTGAAAATCAAATCATACATTGTACAAATCATAATGAGTGTTTAGTTGCTAACTTAATTAATCAATCCTTTGGTCAGCTACAACAGTTCCCAATTAATTGCACAGCTCGTTTTTAAAGATATGTTACCTAATTTAATGCAAGTACTTCTCCATCTTAAAAGAGGCAGTGTTTTCTTCTCTCACTCAAAGGAGGCCCTACATCTTCTAAGATGGTGCCTCTGCAAAATGTACACCTTAAAACAGTGTGTCTAGTGTTCAGAATGATTTGCTTTCTCCATTGGCAAATTTTTCACATGCTTTATGGGGAAACATTCATGGAGGTTTTTTGTACATATGATTATGAAAAAAGTCATACAAGTATTTCATATTTTTAGTGCAAGTCATTTGAAAAAAATTGAATGGTTTTTTTAATTAAAGGAAATATTCTTCAATTTCCAAGTTTCTAACATTTTTCTTTGACTCCCACTCAAAACAAAAGATGCATCTGTCACTGAGTAATTTCTTGTGTGTATATAACTTCCATGGAGAAGTCATGCACTAATGAAGCAGCTTTGTACTTCTGAAGATGTCATGCAATGTTTTGTTTGTAGCATATTCAATAATAAGAGGCCGCATAATGTAGTAGCTAGCAGTGTAGATACTTGTAAAGTCAGTTTTATGGCCCAATCCTTATTTACACGAAAATAAGTCCAGTTGTATTATGTGGGACCTACTACTTGTGTGCTTGCAGGATTACAGCCTGAAGCTGACAACTGTGTAATATTTTTATGTAAGGAACAGGAATTTGAAGACTGAATCTATCATGGTTTTAGGAAGAAAGTGAAAGCCACATAAATTTTACATATTAAAATTTCCCCAACCTTTGAGGTAAACAAAAATTTAAGTTCATTATGACAACACCACATTTACAAATAGTGAAAAACATGAGCATGTATCATACTGAACAAACAGATGTAATTTACCAGTTCAAAATCTAGACTGAGAGGTTGGAGTCAAATCATGAACTTATTTTAATGCCCTATAATGAACTGTTATCCCAGGACTGGGGGGGGGGGTTTACAGATTTAATTAAAGGTGCTTTTATAGGGAAGTTCCAGACGTCAAAGTGTTGCGTGCTGAAGAGTTATAGCATCAATATAAAAATATATTATAAACATTAAGAGCAGCAAATAGAATATCTGGTGTATGTCTTTCAAAGCCTTGCCAGAAAAGGAAATGGCCAAGGCCCATTCTGCATTACAGCTGTTTAAAGGTATTTGACTTTCCATTGCACAGTTCTCAGGCTCAGCTGTTACTCTGTATTTGAAGATGCCATAAAATTAACTTGAAAGTAGGCAGTGAAATATAAAAAGAATAGCAGCATTCTAGATGTGCTGACACTGCATGTTGAAGGCCATAGAGCTAACGGTATTGTGTTGCAGGTTTTTAGAAAACTCGTCTTGTTGCTGGTGCCCCAATTCTGCATTCCTGTGTTTGTGTATAAGAGAGAAGTTTCAGCTGCCCTGAATTTTAGTATATACTTCTCTGACATATTCTAGGGAAGCATAGTTCCTTATCTAGAAAAATAGCCTGTTTCATTTGTTCATGAGTAGAAACACACTCACCCAAATCCTACAATGACTTCCACTAAATCATTTTAAATGGCAATATAAATATGATAATTGAACTGTAGCCAATCTATCTTAGTAATTGGTATTGTCCTAGAATTCTAGAGAAAAGCAAATACAGTGTCTATCCTAAATGAAATTACAGGCCTTTCAACTTGCCTTCTGTACCTATGAAGATAGTCAAGCAGGTGAAACAATTTGTGAGCACCCAGAGCAAAATTAGTAGCAGACAAAGTGAATTATGCTGTATGCAACGACAACTTAATTTTCTTATTTAGCTAGAATAATCTGCAGTATGATCCTGTGCAAGCATCCTTCAAAGAAAGTCCCAGTGAGTTCAGTGGGGCTTACTGCCAAATAAGATTGCATAGGATTGTAGACAAATTTGTATAACTTGCAGAAAGTTACTAGCATATAAAGGGTTTCAGCAAGGCACTTAGCCTAGTACTGAAGGTATGCTAGCTAAAATTGCCATGAGAGGTACACATATCATAGATACAGTTGTTGTTTTTAAGTGAAGCAAGGCCTATTCTGGGCCACTACCCAGATGGCTCCCTGCCCGCCTAGGGATCCTCATTCTGATCCCTGCTGAGGAGAGGAGGCCTGCAAATGTTTGGGGGAAACTAATATAGTGACATCCTGTAGAAGTCCGTGAAGGGTTTGGTGGATCCTTCTGTCTGGACATGCAAAAGTTGTGGAATGTGAACGACAAACTACATGATCTGGATTCCCATCCATGATTTTTATGATGAACTTGTAGTAAGCCCTACATAGGACATCTGATCTTGTCATACCCTAGACGTCTTCGATATAACTCCTACTAATGAGTCATTACAGATGCAGTTAGTCTATGGGATCATATTGTGAGCAACACAGTCTGTACACAGTCCTTATCCCTACAGTACGTACTATACACAGTCCCTATCCCTTTTCCAAAAACAATTTCTGAACCATTTCATTATAGTACAGCCCTCCTGAATAATTCCATTTCACATAGTTTACAGACAGCCAGGAGAGTGGGAGCATTCTTGACCTCATCAGGGAGACCATGCCATAAGATAGGGGCCACAACACAGAATGCATGAGTCCTGGTGGTTATCAGTTTTGCCCATTTGCAGAATGGTACCTTCAATAAGTCCCTGCTCAGACAATCAGAGCTGTCATGGTGGAGCATAGATTGCTTAAGACTGAAGAGGGATAAAGGTTGCTTTTTGATCAACACTTTTTAAAAATTATGCTTGGTGGTGTTTTGGAACTTATTTCAGTGTAGTGGTGTCTTACCTACCAAATGTCTGTTCTGATGATTTGTGTATTCTTTTATAGGTGACCCGCTGCAGTGCGGTGCTTGGGTGGGCCAGTGTGCATTGTACATAGTGATCATGATGTTTGAGAAAACAATCATCATTGTAGTCCTCCTAATACCTCAATGGAAAGAGGTTAGAGTCCTTAATGCACGTTTTTAATTATGGGGAGAAGTGTAAATATGTTGCTATGCATGCTAGTAAGTAGACAGTGCTTTACTTTAGCAGGATTGTCAAAGATGGACAATAATGTCATGAAGGCTAAGCCTTCACTGACTGTCATCTGTAAAATGTTTTTGCATTATCAGGGCTTGATTAATCGTATGTTCATACTTTCTTTTGCCCTACTGAATCATCTCTCATGCAGTATGTTATAATAAAGGTCAGACGTTGAATGTCAGGTTTTTTGTTTATTGTAATGATCTGATTAGATCAGTGATATTTCCTGCATCATAATATCATGTTTGTACTTTTCTAAAAGCATGACATTCGCCTGCTTCCATTTATCCCGTAACCCCAGTATAAAAATGTATATATATTTTTGAGATCCAAGGTCTAGAGATTAACACTAATCTAATCCCTCCCCTTGGTTCTCTTTATCTACTCTGCTTCTTGCTGTCGTCCTATTGGTGTAGGGGTTGGAGTGTCGGATTAGGGTTGAATCCCCTCCCTGCCATGGAAGGTCCACTGGGTGACTTTGGGCCAGTCACACTCCCCCTGTCTCTCAACATAACCCACTTCACGGAGTGGTTGTTAGAACAGAACGGAGAATGGGAGAATTATAGGCATTGTATTCCATACATTCTCTCCCTCTCCCAGAATGCTAGAATTCGAGGACATCCAATGAAGCTGATGGGCAGTTGGTTCAGGATGGACAAAAGGAAAAACTACTTTACACAGACAGTGATTAAAATGTGGAATTCGCTGCCAGAGGATGTCGTGATGGCCATAGGAATGAGCAGCTTTCAAAGGGGATTAGATAGATTGATGGTAGATAAGTCTATCAATGGCTTCTTGCCCTGGTGGGTGAGGGGAACCTCCACATTCAGAGGCACTAAGCCTCTGAATCCCAGAGCCAGGAGGCAACATCAGGGAAGGCTTTGGCCTCTGTGCCCTGTTACTGGCCATTTCAGAGGAATTGGTTGGCCACTGTGTGAGACAGGATGCTGGATTAGATGGACCACTGGTCTAATCCAACAGGGCTCTTTTTATGGAATTCCTCTTTTATAGGAATATGGCCCACTGTGGAAATAAATACGAGCTCTAGAAAGAGGCTCTGGGTGGTGAGTGATCTCCTGTCCTCACCTGGAGATTGGCAGCAGTGGTTCCCCAGGAGAAAATAACTGATTTGAAGGGTGGACTCTGTGGCATTCTATTCAGCTGAAGCCTCTCCTCTCCCCAGACTCTGGCTTCCATAGACTCCACCACAAAATCTCCAGGAATTTCCCAACATGGGAACCCTAGTCAGGATTGGCCCCATTGAGTTCCCCACAAAGGCCAAAGTAGGCCTGGAAAGGGCCTCCTATCTTTGCCTTTTTACTGACAAAATCGCGCTTGGTTGCCTAGCAGCAGCCACTGAGCAAGAAGTTCGTCCCCCAGCAGAAAGATATGAGAATGGTTTGAGGGCCAGTAGCTCACCTCAGTAGCCAGCCAGAGGAGCCAAGCAGGAGAAGCATTTTTGTCAAGAAAGAGCCATTTTGGCAGTTTATTCTGTCAGGGAAGTGGCCAGGCTGGCAGTAGGCAGGGAAGAGGAGCAGACCCTGCACCCAGCCAATGGCATGTGAGTACTCTTGAGTGGCGGTTGATGGGCCAATGGCTCATGGAGCGCACAGCACAGCCAATGGGAGAGCCAGAAAGTGCCAACACATTTGGGCATATATATATATATATACATACATACATATATATACACACACATATATATATATATACACACACACACACACATATAAATGTGTGTGTATACATATGTGTGTATGTATATATATGTGTATGTATGTAAGTGTGTGTGTATACATGTGTGTGTGTGTGTGGGTGTGTGTGGCAAAATCAATGGCAAAATCTTATAAGGAGTATTCAGTGGGTTGGGGGAGGGGGTTTGAGGTAGAGGCACCAAATTTGTACTGTAGCTGCTGGAGCCTCTCCCCAAAAGAACCCCCAAGTCTCAAAAAGATTGGACCAGGGGGTCCAATTCTAGGGGCATCCAAAGAGGGTGTCCCCAATCCTCCATTGTTTCCTATGGAAGGGGGGAAAGGCAGGCAGATAAAATCAGCAGCCCAGCAGTAAAAAAAAAAAATTAATTAAAAACTTTAAACTGCAACAAGCAGCCATAAACCAAAGGAACCAAAAGTGACTAGGAAGAGTCCTGAGATCCTAGGCCACAGACAGAAGGCCTAGTTAGTCAGGCACCCCCCCAAAAAAAAAAACAACACACCAACAAGCCCAGATATCAGTCACATAAAAAAAAATTAAAAACTTTAAACTGCAACAGACAGGCAACCACAAACCAAAAGAACAAACAAATAAAAAACCCTGGAAGAGGCCTGAAAGGGCCTTGGACCTAGAGGCTTAGTCACCCACCCCCACCTCCTCCGTTAGCCAACCAACCACAAAATGAGAATAGTTTTTTAAAACTGGCTCTAATCAGTCAAACCAGTGGATGTCTTTAGTCTTCTGTTCTCCAGGAGGCAGGATCTTGATCCGAAGTAGTCCAAGTTAGTCTCTCAGGAAGCAGGAAGGTCAGGCTCACAGCAGTAGCTGAAGCAGAAGCCAGCCACATCAGGAGCGGGAATGGAGTCAGCCAGCCAGAGACCCCTGCTTTTATGCTCTCTAGCCATGCACAGAAGAATTTCAAAAAAGAATAAACTTCTGCAATTGGCCAAAGAGCAGTGTGCCCACCCTTACCTGAAATCCTGTTGACCAGTGCTCCTTCCCCCCTCCTGTCCCTGGGAAAGCAAGCTAGGAGTTGGGCTTCAAGTTTGAAGCCAGCAGCAACAACAGCCTTGCAAGTTGTAATGGCATTTGCAAATGCATTGCAGAAGGTAAGTGCAGCCCTTTAAAGTTTAACCCCCCCCCAAGCCTGTATTCGGTAATGATGAAAAATGCTGAATGAAAGCTGAATATTTTTGGCTTTTATTCGGCATTCTGTATTCGGCAGCCAAATCAGAACTGAGATTCTGATTCGGCTTGCTGAATACCCAAAAATGCTGAAGAGGCATTTTTCAGTGTTTTTTCATTTCTTTTTTTTAGAATTTTTTAATTGCTTTTTCATTATAAACTACAAACTAAACACTACAGATTCAGAGTAGCAAGGTACATTGATAACGTATCTTGCACTTTGGGTGTTTCCCTA